AGTGTTGTCAAGTAATTATAGTAAAGTTGTATTTTTTACCATTCAAAATTGTCAGAAATTATTCGAGAAGAGCACAAACTTAAAAGTATTTACACCAAGGAAGAACCTCAGCAGAACATTTTTGCACTAGATACTTTTTTACATTGAATCTCATTATAACACTTCATCATAAAAACATTAGATATCCAGATTAAACCACCACAATTAGATAGTTTAGTAAGTAAAACCCTTGTTTTCATGACTTTCCTCTCCACATTTCAGGAGTATTGACTGGAACGACTCTGTCATCATCTCCAAACTGTATGATATATTCAGAGGGACGGTGGTCATGAAAGGGAAGGTAGTGTATCTAGTCAACTTCATAACTTGAAGGAGACTGCATAATTTGAAACATTTCAGCTCTTTATCCAAAGTGTGTCATAAACCATTATCATGCTACTGTTTATGTACCTTGCTGAAATACTGATTTTTAAATACTCATCTCACACATGGATTTCCCTCTCACAGGCTACAGTGAAACCAGAGCAGAGACGCCAGCCTGCTGCCACCAGGGTCAGAATGAAAGTGTTTCCACTGCTGTTGAAATCAAGGGAGGCTGCTGACCAATTTCCAGCCTGTATTCAGGTACATCTCAATGAATGATGTGGTGTGTTCCACAAAAAATACACCTTTTGTGAGTCATGTCACTGACGTCCACATTTATGTTATATTTGCATAATTCTGACTTGCCCTGTTATTTTTACTATTTTATACCATCATAGTACATTCCAGTATGAAGAGAAATTGACAGTAATTGGAAAGTGAGATAAAATAGTTATGCATATGTTTCACAAAATGCTTGTCAACCACATGGCCCAGAGAAATACTTCTTTTTCTTGTCCAGCTCTTTGAAAACTTTAATCTTGTGCTTTTATGCAACACACATGTATGTAGTAAGCTGTGATTTATTAAAAAAAATAGTGAAGGTATTTGTAAGCAGTGTGTCATTGTTAGAATTTCTTTTCAGGTTATATTTGCCTGTTTGTTTGGTTCCACAACTAATCAGAAACTCAAAGTCATGGCAGTGCAGTTTGTTCACCATGTTTGTCTCAAGTAAGTTGTCTCTGAATGGTAGTTTTAAATGATACAACAAAGAAAATTATTATCTTGTCTTAATTAATATAACACATGTAAATATTTGTATATGTATTTTCCAAATATTACACTTAGTAAAATTTGCATATGTAATAAAAAAAGATGTAAAATGTTAGGTTAAATAAAACACAGATAAAAACACAGTTATCAGATTGTTAACTTTAAAAAAAGATGTTTTGTTCATTAACTTTCAGTTGCTCTGATGCCAAGTTCAATCCCATTGGCTCTGTGATAATGTCAGGGATGGTAAAAGTTATAGATGAAACCAAAGAGGTAAGAATTATTATTATTATTATTTATTATTATTATCGTATTAATATCTAACCTTTTGTATTGTGACTTCTTTTATACAGGACTATTAGGCTGTATCAAAAACTGCATTTTATATCATAACCCATGGCTTTGACTTTGCTCATGATGATTGTACATTTTAAAATTTTAAAATGTCCAAATTCCCTCAGTATATCTGTGTTGCTTCCTGTATCTGTATTACTGACTTGGAAGTCAACTCTAAGCTATATTCACTGGTATTTCAATTATCCAGGATGCAAGTCTCCGTGGCCAGGCTTACCTTGCTATAGGAAAGATTGCCAGGAGACTTCCTCAACTGGTCACCAAGGACATCGCTCTGGTGCAGAAATTCTTTGATGCCATGTGTAAGGTAGGTTTATGTGAGGGGTAGACAATGGCAGATCTAGAGGTGTAAAGGTGGTTATTCAGGAAAAATTATTTAAATGTCACACTCCTCTTAATATGTCATGTTTGGTCATTATCTATATGGGATGGTTTATGGGAAACAGTTGGCTGTACAGGTGAGGACGGGATTCTGCCATGATGACTGATGCATCCTGGGAGGTACCTGCAGTGACGTGTATTAATTTGATTGTGGGAGGACTAGGAAACTAAGCTGGGTATTCTCAGAGATATAAATTAATTGGATTTCAGGAGGACTCAGAAACTAAGCTAGCCATTCAGGCAAGCTTGTCCATGATGTCTGAGGCCTTCAAAGGAATGGAAGGACCCAATTTAAAGATCATGGAAGCTCTTATCATGCAAAATGTGGAAAAGGTGAGAAAATGAATGTCTGAAAAACTTAAAGGTTAATCAGTGTACCGAATTTCTGTATGGAAGAATCACTTTGTGTTACATCATTTGGTTGATAGTACATAATATCACATTGTGTATTTTTAAAGACATGATGTAAATGATATTTATTTATTTATCTCTTTCTTATTCAATTTTTTGATTTATTTTTTTTTAATGTAGGATGAACACCAAGCAAGAATGATGGCAGTGCAGTATGCTAAAACTGTCTACCCACCAGATCATATTCCTTCCAGATATGTCCTTCTTCTGGCCTGTGGGGATGTGTAGGTTTCATATTAAGCAACTGTAATAATTTGTTTATAAACTTTTTAATCTGCATACCCTTAAGGTCATATCCCATTGAGATGGGTTCTAAATTGCCCTGTTGAGATGTGAAGAATGATATGTCGATTGATTAAAAATTTCATTTCAGAATCTTTAAAGAACATTTTACATTGCTGTTAGTGGTCATTATCTCTCCAAGGATTGTTAATAATCTTGTTATTCAGTTTATAGTTGGTTGATATTTCTAAATTCATAATTCTGCTTTTTACATGACACAATAAATACTTTACACAGATGTAGTTTTTGAAAAAATGTTTGATTCCATGCAATGTTTGATTTTAGTAAAGAGGATATTTATGCTGAGGCGACCAAGGCACTTCGTAATGTGGCCAGCCCAGAGAAACGACAGAAATTAGATGCAGGGAAGGAGGACTTGCCTCTTATGCCAGACTTCTCTGAATTAGTGCTGTATATTTATGAAAAGGTAGGAAGAAAAAGGTTGACAGTCTTACACAAATACTATGAAATGTCTATTTTTAATGCTGTTAATGCTGTTATTTATTTAGAATAAAACAATGTATGTAGGTGGATGTTTGATTAACCTTAAATGTATAAAATGATAGACAAAGTATAATAAAAATTTCAGGGAAACCAGAGAATTAAAAGCTCCCAGAAATATGTGACTGGTAACAAAGTTCTTCCCTTCAATCCAAGTGCATTTGGAGAGGTAAGATAGCAACACTGCATGTAACAAGTCCAAAACTCAAAGAGTATCTTTTTTAATGTAATTTTGATGGACTTATTGAAATGGCAAAATATTGCAAAATAATCATGGCATAAGAAATGTAATGTTATAGTTACCTAATTTTTTTATGGTGTTGATATATACAAGGTACCATTATAAAACATCTCCTTATCTCTCTGCTTCTCTGCAATACTTAAATAGAAATAACCTCATTTGGCACATGATCTGTTTTGTTTCAGATTTTGCTCTATCTGCGTATGTGTCTTGCGTACAGTGCTGGGCTGGTACCAGATGTAGAGTCCACCGTTGCTATGCAACGCCAGTCTCCTGCCATATCCAGGGTGATCCACCAGCTACTGATAGACAAACCTGGAGACAATGGTCCTGTACAGGTCTACATCAAGTTGATGAAACAGTTGTTATCAGCCATAGGAGGTAATCTAGTTGCTGCATGCTCAAAACTGATAAAACAGTGAGTTATTCTTAACTGGGAGACTAAATACATTATGTTTGAATTTGCCAATCTGTGTACCTTAGTGCCTGAATACAACAGCAGGGAACTTTTTCATAGTATGCTCAGAATTGTTGAAGGGAGTATAAGATAACCAAATTCCTAAGTTTTAGTCGCTATGCTTTAAAACCTGTTTTACAAAAATTTGCTAAATAATGCACTTTACATTAATTAAGAGTAGTTTTGTATAATTTGGTCTGTGTAAACTTGTATGTACCTGTATCATGTGTTCAGGTCCTCCTGTGATGTACTGTCTCACTGAGGTGGTGGCCGGGGCTCCCAACAAACTGGCCTCAGATTTCACTGACAACATGGCCTGGATCAAGGTGAGATACTAAACATGCTGGAAAACATTAAGGTATCGTGGGAAGTTGTTGTATAGATATTTTCTCTCAAAATATTGCTATAAAAAATATGAATTTTTACTTATTTTGAAAAAGTATGCCAAATAATGCAGAGCTTGTATCATCTTCTTTAAAGTTTGTTGTAACAATTGTTTTGATATTATTTCAGACTTTTCTGTATTCCACCAGAGAAGACATGAGGGAATTTGCTGCCCAGTTGTATGCTATTGTGGTGTCTTCAGCAGTTGAAGAAAGCAAAATACCAGAAATCTTCAATGAGCTTTTACAAAACATGAAAACAAAGGTATAATACAAACCAAGCAGCCTTCTACTTTGCAACTTAAACTGTATGTTTTTAGGAAATCATTTCTTGAAATACTTACAGTACTTATATTTAAAGTTAAGTTATTTGGTTAAAAAATGCCTATTACCTTCTTCTCTTTCTGATAATGACAAGGTGTGTCTAAAATATATGTGCACACACAGATAATCTCAGATAAAACATTCCTTATTATTGGTGTTTGTTGTAGGGGTTTGAATGCCAACATGGCTCCATGCTTGCTTTGGGCTTCCTGATTGGCCGCCAGATGTACAAGGCCAAGGGACACCATGGTGACATTGCTGTAGAAGATATGGAAGTGGACAGTAAAGCAAATGGAATTGAACTCTACAGAGAAGCTGTGGAACAAATAGGTACTCACAGTTTAATTTACCTACTAAATAATGGAATACTGTCATGTACCTGGGAGAAAAAAATGATCCTTATAGTGCACATTGGTAAGTAATTGCAATTTTTTTCTTTAAGCCAAGAATCTCGACTCCAGGGATGTTGCCATGGTGATGGGTGCTTGCACTGCTATTGGTGAAGTTGGCAGAAATGGCAGTCTCCCAGTGGCTGATGGTGAGGTGAAAGAGAAAGCGGAAGACTCTGCAGTCAAGGATGAAACTGTGACAAAGCTCTCCATTGTAGATTGTTTGATTTCCAAAGTGCAGGCCACAAAAGAACCAATGAAGGTGAGGAATATCCAATATAACACTATCATTATTGAATACATCTTAAAATTTATGAATCATAATGATATACAAATTAAATAAACAACAGATTTAGAAACATTATTCCTTTCCTTGGTTTAGAATTGCTAGCTTGTATCTTAAATTTAGAGACCAGTGAATATCTTAAATGTCTGATAGTAATATACAGAATGTTGTAATATTTAGGTAAGAGAGAAGGCAGCCTGGTGCCTGGGCACCTTGTGTGTGATAATGATACAGAATGTTGTAATATTTAGGTTAGAGAGAAGGCGGCCTGGTGCCTGGGCACCTTGTGTNNTGATAATGATACAGAATATTGTTATATATTTAGGTAAGAGAGAAGGCAGCCTGGTGCCTGGGCACCTTGTGTATGATAATGATACAGAATATTGTTATATATTTAGGTAAGAGAGAAGGCAGCCTGGTGCCTGGGCACCTTGTGTGTGGGAGAGGCAATGTTTCCACACACACAGAGAGTGATGAAGGGGATGCTGGACTGTGCTCAGGTAAATGAAGACATATTCTCTAGTACTGCTCCTGGGTTTACAAATGTTCTGCTCTTTAACCGTAGAAATTGTACTCTGTATTTTGCAATTTTGATTAAATTTAGGCTGAGATGCAGATGTGAAAACATTGGTAAACAAATGTTGTGTTCTTATACTAGTACAATATAATTCTGTGCAAAGTAATTTTGATGAACTGAAGGCTGAGGTGTTAACACATTGCATGTGGGTGTTAAGATGCTGTACTTGGCTGTGTATGTTTATATATCTTAGTTCTTATTAGTAAAATTGTGCAATATTTCAGTTCAGTTGTGTTAACAGTACCATTGTGGTCTATTTCAGCCTAAGCAGATAGAGTTACACCTGACTGTGGGTGAAGCCTTGGTGTGTGCAGCTCTAGGTAGTCACTCCCCAGTAGCCAGGGATCCATGGACTGTACAGGAAGACAACTTCAAGGTGATATACAGCAGATATACAGGATTGTAATAATGAATTCTATTGTGGAATTGAATCATACAAAACGTATCTTTTTCTTGTAGCACTTTTTATTATATTGAAGTGTGTGCATTGTTTCTGGTAATTGAGAGAAATTAGAACTATATTATTATTTTTTGAAACACTCAAGTCTTGCAAATGAGATATCTCCACTAAATAAGATCCGTGTATGTTTTGTTGGAAATATTTTGTAGCCTTTAACAGACGCAGGAAAGGATGAAGTTGAGTGGCTGTTGTCAGAACTCCATACCAAATATGTAAGAAGTGATAACCCACATATTAGACAGGTAAGCTGAGGAAAGACTTTTTCCCTATTAATGCTGACTATGGCACTCATGGAAGTGTTAATTTTTGCTATATTTTATCAAGTTTTAAAATGCAATTGGTGATGTGAAAAGTACTTAGACCCCATTCAGAATTGGGGACTAACTAGTTGAAGGGTCAAATATGGCGACCCACTACAAAGCTTGCCGTCTAATCCACTAACAGACACTGAAAAGATATCCCGCGGGTAAGTATTCAGGTGGGTCGGCCATATCTGATCCTCAGACGAGTTAGTCCCCCATTCTGAATGAGGTCTTAGATATTCCCCAATGTCATGTATATTGGTGTGTGCTGTGTTGCAGGCTGCCTGTGTGTGGTTGCTATCCCTGGTGAAGAGCTGCAGTGGTCACAAGGTGATACAGGAGAATATGAAGACTATACAGGGAGCATTTATGAGCTTACTAGCAGAAAACAATGGTAAGATGGTGAAAACACTGCAGAATGGGATTTAAGAGAAAGATGAAATCTTAAAATCTTTGACATTTTCTGTAAGTGTCAAGATGTCAATTTTACACAATCTCAAAAACATAAAAAATAGATTTTAATGTTTAATACAGCTTGTAGGTAAAGCCATTGAAGATATTATCCCTTTGATAATATCAAATATTACTCTCAGTGGGATTAAATTATTTTTTCTTGTGCCTAGAAATCACCCAGGACATCGCCTCCAAGGGTCTCAGTATAGTCTATGAGAACTCCAGCAAAGAGAGGAAAGATGAACTAGTGGCAGACTTGGTGCAGACACTCATGACAGGAAAGAGGTAAGCCACCAGGGAGGTTACATAACTAAAGCCAGAGAAGAATAATTTTGGTAATCGGCAAAACATTTCTATGCTAGGATGAGCCTAGATCATCATGTATGTTTTTTACATGCTATATCACCACAGGTGCTGCTCAAAAATGTTTGGGTGTAGGCATTCAGTTTTATAAAGTTAATGTTTTTTAATCTGAAAGACAAGTCTTTAGGTCAGTGGTTTAACAGTTTAATTCAGTTAATACACTAAACCTTAGTACTAGATGTGATTATCCTTTATGCATTAGATTTATAATAAAGAGATATTGTGCCCTTATATGTGGCATAATAATACCTGGTCTCCATGGTGACATATTGCCTGGTCTCCATGGTGACATAATCTCTGGTCTTCATGTCATCCCAGACCCCAGCAGCAGGTGACCAGTGATACCCAGGTGTTTGAGGAGGGAGCCCTGGGGAAGACACCAGACGGACAGAGTCTCTCCACCTACAGGGAGCTCTGCTCTATTGCCAATGATCTTAACCAGCCAGACCTGATCTATAAGTTCTTACACCTGGCTAATCACAATGCCATGTGGAATTCTAAGAAGGTGAGAGCACCTGTCTGCCATTAGCTCATATTATGAATACTATTTAAAGATTTGAACATTTTTGGATATCAGGTGATTGTTATTATCAAATACATTAACCACTGTAGAGTTCTGTTTGCTTGGATAATTACATCTTTATAAGTGATTTTTAATCAAAACATCAATATAAATGGAAAAGATTACCACTGTGATGGAGACATAAGTGGACCTATTCAAACAGTGTATATATGTCAGGCCCGTAGCCAGGGGGGTTCGGGGGGTTCGAAAGAACCGCCCCTTTTGCTGGGAAAAGGTCCACTCTGGGTAAAATTCATGAAGTTTTTTCAGAAAACGAACCCCCCTATTGAAATTGCTGCCTACGGGCCTGTATGTCTACCTTCCAGGGTGCAGCTTTTGGGTTCACCAGTATATTTTCTCAAGCTGGAGAACAGCTGGCGCCATACCTGCCAAAGATTGTCCCCAAGTTGTACAGATATCAGTTTGATCCCAACCCTAAGATCCAGCTGGCAATGACCAGTATATGGCAGTCTCTGGTGTCTGATAATAAGAAGACGGTGAGTTTATATTGCTAACATTGTCATTGTGGCATGTGTGATTTGGTATGAGAGTTTGATTTCAGTAGAAAAGTTCATTAAACCAGTAAGAGTAATTCACGTATTTGACAAGTAAGTCTGTTGTCTGAATTTAAATGGAATGATTCAACTAGAACGATAAAGTGATAAAGTGCTTACAGACTTTTTGCTCTGATGTTCAGGGTTGAACATGAAATGTTATGAAGTCATCTTTTTGAATACAGGTTGATATGTATGTCCAAGACATCCTTGAGGATCTAATCAAGAACTTAACCAGTGCCCAGTGGAGAGTGCGGGAGTCCAGTTGTATGGCCCTTCATGACCTGTTCAGGGGTAGACAAATAGACGACATGGTGGACAAACTCCCTGTACTGTGGGAGAACTGCCTCAGAGTGCTGGATGATATTAAGGTGAATATCTTAACAATATTTGCAAAGTTTGCTCTTCTTTGGTGTAATAATAGTACAACAGATGATAAATGCTCTTTATGAGCAAATTCATGGTAAGATTCAAATTGGGTGATTTTTTCTGTCATTAAATCAAGCACAGTAAAGGATGTTTTCCTGTGAAGGTAAAGGTTATATCATCTGGAGAAATTGTAAAAACTCTATATAGAACTATTATTGCATTTTAGGAATCTGTACGAAATGCAGCTGCCATTGCATGCAGAACCTTAAGCAAGGTAAGAAATGCTGAACATGTCTACTATGGAATCTGCATCTGTCAATTTAGTTCTTCCAGATGAATATATAGATTATATTTATCTAATTGACAATTTGAAAAACGTATTATGTTCCATATGATGAATACACTTAGTCTGTTAAAATTTCAATCTTTCTTGTACTCTATTCCAGGCCTCTATCAAGATCTGTGACGTATCCCAAGGGAAGATAGGAGAGAAGGCCATTAGTCTGGTGCTGCCTTGTCTACTACAACATGGGCTGGGGAGCCAAGTCCAGGACGTCAGGGCAGTGGGGTGAGTGGGGGAGATATCAAGATATCAAGTAAATCTACAACATGGGCTGGGGAGCCAAGTACAGGATGTCAGGGCAGTGGGGTGAGTGGGGGAGATATCAAGATA